GTCATTGTTGGACCAAGCTATGCCCCAACTTGACTTCCATCGTTTGTTCCAATCGAAGACAGTGGATTACTCCGGAGAAGAGGTACAGGTTGCCCGGTCTTTCCAGTGGAAGATGGTGGAGGCAGCAATGCCTGAGGCAGTAGGAACCTTGATGTTGGAGGACTTCTGTGGCGATGGGACCCTGCAGTATGTCCAAGACTTCGAGAAGTTTCTTTTGCCTGCCCAGGACCAACGCCTCGGGCGAACGCCAGCAATCATGGTGGAGCACAGCCACTGGGCTGAGGTCTGCCGGGGCCTGTTGAGGAAGGGGGTGTGCCGGGTGATGCATGTGTCTAAGCTACACCACATAGATGGGCGACCCTTACTAAACGGCCTGTTCGCCGTAAGCAAGAATGAAACGGCGGTTGATGAGCAGGGCTCGTCTTTTGAGGTTTGCAGGCTTATTATGAATTTGGTGCCAACGAATGGTTGTTGTAGAAGCTTGGTTGGAGACACCTCCACATTGCCTACCGTAGTAGGCATGTCTTCTGTGATCTTGGAAGACAATCAGTTGCTTATAACATCTTCGGAAGACATTCGGTGTTTTTTCTACCTGTTTCAGACTCCTTCTTCGTGGTGGAAGTATATGGGGTTCGCAAGGGAGGTGCCGGCTGAGGCCCTCCCAGAGGGCTACCTGGGAGGTGGCTGGCATTTAGTGACACAAGTGTTGCCTATGGGGTTCATCAACTCCGTAGCGATTGCACAGCATGTGCACAGGCGGGTGATTAGCAAGGCGCTTCAGGGTGAGAAGGTGTTGGCAGGAAGACAGCAGGAGCTTCGTCGAGATCGGCACTTCTCAACGGCAGATCACCTCTTCCGTGTGTACCTGGACAACTATGACGAGCTTTGTAAGGTAGATAAGAGGCTTGCTGACACGTTGATTGGAACGCCTTCAGCCTGGACCCTAGCAGTGCGTCAGACCTATGAGGACTTGGGCCTTCCTCGCCATCCCAAGAAGGCGGTGACTCAGGAATTGAAGGCAGAGGTGCAGGGCGCGTGGTTGGATGGTGAGGCAGGAACAGCAGCTCCAAAAGGTGAAAAAGTGTTGAAGTACGTGCGCTTGGCATGTGAACTGCTGATGAGAGGCAGAGCCTCTCAGAAGGAGCTGCAGGTTGTCGGTGGGGGTTTTGTCTACATTGCTATGTTCCGCCGCCCCATGTTAGCCGGGCTGAATGCATTGTGGCGACGCATTGTTGAGTTGGAAGGAGTGTCACATCGAAAGAGGGAAGCCTTAGGCGAAGCTGTAGAGTTGGAGCTAGTCAGGTTCACTGCCTTGACCCCGTTGGCCTTTATGGACTTCCGCATGGACATCTCGGAGGACGTTACTGCGAGTGATGCATCGACGAGTGGGGGAGGTCTTTGTGTGAGCAAAGCGTTGTCACCCTACGGGCTAGCAGCAACTCAGGCCCAATGCAGGGGAGATATACTCTCCCAAGATGACGTTGAACCAATACTTGTGGTCTCCTTGTTTGATGGCATAGGCGCACTCAGAGTTGCAGTTGATACCCTGCGGGTGCCGGTGGCTGGCTACATCTCGGCGGAGATCTCGGAGGAGGCTAGGCGTGTTGTTGAGAGTTGGTTTCCAGAAGTGAGACACATCACCGACGTGGCTCTCATTGATGAAAATGAAGTTAGCAGCTGGAGCCTGCTCTATCCGGGCGTCTGAGCCGTGATCTTGGGCGCTGGGCCCCCCTTGTCAGGGAGTCTCAGGTTTAAACTCAGATCGCAAAGGAGCGCTGCGTGATGCCAGATCTAGCTTGTTCGCCCACGTCCCTAGAGTCGAACAGTTGCTTCGAAGATTCTTCCGTTGGTGTCCCGTTTTCCGGCTTGCCGAGAATGTGGCATCCATGGATGTTGCTGATTGTGCTGTGATGAATGAGGCCTATGGGGGGCGCTCCTTGGTTGATAGACGCAGGGAAGGTTAGCCTGGCACGCCGGCCCCGCCTTTACTGGATCACATGGGAACCAGTTGAGTTTGAAGGCGCAACAAAGGACACGGAGGGCACTAATCGCTTGCCCCTAGCGGGCCAGGTTCACTTACAGGCTCAGGTACAAGAGAAGGACTTCTTGGAACCAGGTTGGCGCCGATGCGACCCGCAGCAGGTCTTACCTACATTTACAACCTCTCGCCCGTCTCCTACGCCTGGACGCAAGCCTGCGGGCCTTGAAATGTGCACGCCAGCAGAGCGGGTCCGGTGGCAGCAAGACCAACATCGGTTCCCACCGTACCAATATAAGTCAGTGAACAGTCTTACCAACGCCCAAGTGAGAGTCCCGAATGTCCGCGAGCGGGAGTGCATTCTTGGCTTTCCATTGGAGTACACGGCAAAGTGCTACCCCAAGAGTCAGCAAAATCTTACTGCGTGGAACGACTGTCGGTTGACATTGCTAGGCAACACTTGGTCGGTGCCGGTCATTTGCTACTTGTTGCATTCATTGTTCAGGATCTTGGGACTCAACGCCCCTATGAGCATGCAGGACATTGTTTCACGCTTGACACCAGGGGAGGAAGACTGCCTCCCAAGTTTGCTTCTGCGCCCTCCGTTGAGGCGCACAACTCAGCAAGGTAGCACAGGTGCTAGTCTAGTACGTCGCCTTCTAGGTCAGGTGTCGGTCAAAGGTGAAGACCTGTTGTTACAGATGGGCAGCGACATTCCTGCAAGGTATCAGCGACTTCGCGCTTCCATTCCGGGAAAGCTGTGGCGCTGGCGTGAGGTTGCCGGATGGCAGTGGACAGGCGCTGCCGAACACATCAACGTCTTGGAACTACGGGCGGTGAAGACGGCCCTATCTTGGAGGATTCGAGAGCTCAAAGAGCAGCGCACTCGTTTCTTGCACCTGGTTGATTCATTGGTTGTACTACATGCTCTCAGTCGAGGACGATCCAGCTCACGAAAGATGCGCAGGACGCTTGCTAAGATTTCCGCGTTGCTGTTGGCTAGTGGCCTTCAAGGTACCTGGGGGTACATTGACACACACCAGAACCCGGCCGACAAACCGTCGCGCCGGCCTCTCCATCGCAAATGGGTAAGAAAAAGGCTAAAGTAGTTGAGGGCCGGAGTCAACAGCAACGAAAAGCGGTTCGAAAAAATCTTGGCAAATTAAAGGATCTTACAGTACAACCTCGCACACGTCAGCGTTATGAAGCCAGTCTGCAGCAATTTTTCTCTTGGTTGGAAAGGGAGGGACTGATCCTCCCAAAGCGAGTGACACAGATGGACAACCTGGTCTCGGACTACCTTGAATTCCTGTGGGCTGAAGGCCATGGTAAATCAGAAGCCAATAATGCCTTGGCGGCCTTGCAAGACTTTGACCCGAACCTCCGTCGGAAGCTCCCCGGGAGCTGGCGCTTGTTGAAAGCGTGGTCCACGGCAGAGATCCCCAACCGGGCTCCGCCCATGACGCTGTCCATACTCGATGCTTTGTGCGGGTGGAGTGTGATGCAAGGGCAGCCAGAGTTTGGACTCAGTTTGCGATTAGCCTTTTTTGGGCTGTTGCGGACTGGCGAACTTTTAAGCCTCACCGCTAAGGATGTCTACATCACTAGCCCTAAGGGCCCAGCTGTCATTTCCCTTGGGTTGACTAAGTCCGGGGCTCGCCAAGGAGCCAGCGAAAGTATCACTATCCACGAAACTTCTGTCCTCCCTTCCTTGTATAGTTGGAAAAGCCGTAGCTCAGCAAATGCCTATTTAACTTCTAAGCCACATGCATGGCGGAAGCTCTTCAATCAGGCGATTGAGGGACTTAGGCTCACAGAGCTTGGTCTGAGGCCGTACTCCCTTCGGCGGGGAGGCGCCACGTTTCTTTTCCAACACCACGGAAGTTTTGACAAATTGCTGCTTCAAGGCCGGTGGGCCGCAGCAAAAACCGCACGTATATACCTGAACGACGGTCTTGCACAGTTATCCGAGCTAAAGGTCCCTAATTCGCGATTGCGGACATACTCTTCTTTTTATTTTCAACACCCGATACTTGAGCCTGGGACCTCTAAGGGTCCCAGATCAGGGGGACGCGGAAGAGCCAACAAAAACAGCTTTTTTTCTCTGCATGAGGGGGGTTGTGGGAGAAAACCCCCAAAACAGACTTCCTGAATGAGGGTCACAGGAAGTTTTCCTCTAAAAAGTGTTCGGGCCCAGGGGGCTCCGGTCTGGCGGATGCAGCCCTGGGGGGCACTGGGGGGCATTCACCTTTCCCTGGTCTGGCGGGAAAGGTGAATGTTGGGGCCCCAAGAGAGGATAAATTCGGTTTTCTGCACCGATGGTGCTTGTTTCATGGACAAACCTGCTGCAACGCGTGAAAAAGGATCGGTGGCTGTGCTTAGATATATCATATACAAGTGTATATATTCAAATGTATATGTGCTGGAAGAGCTAGTTTCGCCACATCTGAAGCGCTTTAGGAAAACCCAAGAACACCTGCAAAACACCCTGCTCTGTTGAAACAAGAATTCTGCTCACCCTCATTCTGCCAAATCTCATTCAGCTCGATCGATCGCCTCTCCTTTCACAGGCCTCTTTTGAGGCTTCCTGTGCCTATCTTCAAAACTTGCAAACTGCCGAGCACCTGGATGGATGCAACTGTTGCACACCATTGCATATCTGCTTCTTCGGTGCGGCACACACTGGATGGAACGGCGCACATCTTTCTTGATGACGAGCCGAGTCCAAGGTATTGAAGGACCAGAGGAGGTTGCCCCAGATCTGTGAGAGCACAGTGCATGGCATGGGGACGTCACAACCTAGAAGCGATGGCCTCCAACCCAAAAGATGGAAAGTGGATGCCGGTGGCTTTACATGGTCATGCTATGGTCATGGTCATCTCAAAAAACATCAAAACGTTAGAGTACGCACCAACAACAGAATCTGGGGGATCTGTGTGACGTGCAAAACATGCCATCACATTCTTGTTGGTGTCTTCATCCCCAGTTGAAACATCAAATGATATCAAATGGGTCGATCTGAGTCCAACAAATCCCTTCAGGCCCTCCATCTGATCCCCTTGGAAAACCATGGTGACTCATCAGTGCCCCTTTGATTTGAGCACCAGCACCACGACGGCGTTCGTCTCTGTCGTCGTTCCAACAGAGTTGAGTTCGTTCCAACAACACCGAACTACGCGCTGAGTGCCAGCTGCGGATTGGTCTCGTCCCGCCGGGGCGGCAAAGTGTTGATGGGCGGACGCTCAAAGTCCCAAAGCCTCAGGACAAGAGTGAAGGCAACATGGTGTGAAATTGATGACTTCAACGGACAAAAACATAGTTGACTATTGAATCCTATTATTATAGAATCAGTTCATGTTTCCCCGACCAAAAGTCTGCACCCCAATCCGGCCTAAATGTGAGGATAACTGTGAGGATATGTCGAACAGTTCTTTCAGTGTTCCATCTTCTTGGACTGTGTGTTCTTCACTCAACTCTTCAAACCGCTGAGCAAAGGGTCTGCAATCCAGGAAGGATGGGGATGAATAGAAACTTGAGTAGGCTTGGGTGGGTGGAATCTGGACTTCTTGCTTGTTTCAGCCTAGCTAGACTTGTTGGGATTTTGTATTGATTCATCTCCCGGCGCCACCGGACCGGACGTCCGGTCCTCGTTCGGGCCGCTGAGTCACTGGATGGGAGCCTTGCTGGGAAGACCCACCATTTTCCACCTGAGAAGGCGCAGGTGGTTTCCACCTGAGAAGGTCCCAAAATCCATTGCTTCAATTGAGCTACAGCCAGTTCACTGCTAGAAGGGAGGAAGGGAGGGAGGGAGGGAGGGAGGGAAGGAGGGAGGTTGATATGCAATCTTTGCTATCAGTGCAACCCCTCAATCGTGATACAATGTGCGCAGCTTGTGACTAGAGAGAGAGAGAGAGGGAGAGAGAAGAAAAAAATAAGTCAGTTGAACGTTTGGATGACCGCGCTTGCAGTCAAACGCATCTGCAGTGTCGCCTCCTTGCCATATTGCACCATGCATTCCCTTGTACTGGATGGTTGTAATCCCAGTATTGCGGACCATCCAAACTGAAGGGTTTGGGGCATAACTCAATGGATCGCAAGAGTTTGTCAGTTCTTTTCTCAGCACCAGCTGCAACTCAGGGTCCACTAGCTGCTAGCTGTCCACTGCTCCACTGCATCTACTTTTCAGGGTCAGCACATGACATACGCATGTTTGACATGCGTATTCCCCAACGAGGCTCGTTGAAGATTCAACCAACTTCTAAACTTCGGCTGCAGGATTGGGTGGGCGGTGAGATAAAGCGAAACAAATGGTGCCATTCCAAATATGGATCGATTCTGAGTTGGGACCAAAGCAACACGACATCTAGGACCCCTCCAAACTGGCGAACAAAGGCACCTCGTGGATCCTGCGCCATGTCACGAAGAAAGTGCTGTGTACCTACGTTACATCCTCAAGAGTGTGGCTACGTCTCCATTCGCCTGAACATCCCTTGGGTGTGGCCGCCGCCAGCCCGCCTTCCCCGCGAGAGCCGGCAAACTGAGATCCAATCCTCGAGGCCACAAACACGTTTCTCACACACGCAACCCTCGTAGGGGCCACTGCCAAAAACTTGCATAAACAGTAAATCAACACAAAGTCCTTCTGTTCTAGTCTGACGACCTTTTCTGTCTTTTCTGTCTAAACTTGGACTTCAGACCTTTCCCTTCCTCAATTTCCTATGCATAGGAAGTTTTAACCTGGTTCTTCAAAGTGACCTTTTGATCAGCTGATTTGAGGTCACTTAGGCATGGAAAAAAGGGTCACTTACAACCTCCAAAACCTTGCTTCCGTGCACCCCTAAACACCAGCAAATGTCAAGTTTACGTAGGGGTTTCTCGGGCCACCCCCCCGCAGACCCCCTACTTACTTCGTTCGCCAAACACAACTCAGCTGGCGCCTTCTACGAAGGCTGGCTTTCGTAACAAGCTCAGTTAACGTCAGTTCGAACAAAAACACCTGGGTTTCATGGTTTCCGTGCTTCAAGGTTTTAATCTTTTCACTCCAAGTCAATGCCCCGATGGACCATTTACCTGACTTGCATGGGTGAAGTATCAAAAAAAACTATTTATCGCATCAATAAAAAGTTATTCAAGGGGATCAATAAAAAAACTAATTACTTAATCAAAAAAAATAATTCTACCACGAACCCTCTTTGGGCTGGGCGTCGGCCTGTATACTAATCTCTTTCCTCCTGCCTGGCCTCCTGGCTAACAGGCAGTTTCCGCTCAGAGTCGAAATTCGTGGCAGGAATCTTGTGGCACAGGGGCGGGTTGGGGGGAGGGGGACGCGCCTCCCCCTATGAGCAGACACGGCTAACGCTTTCAGGTATGTACTACATTATTCTGAACTAACGTGAGTGATTAAATGTTTGATGGTTTTTTCTTTTCTGATTATTGGAGTAATTTCATTCTATTTCATACATTTTGTCAATTCTGTAATGCATTATATTAAATCACGTTTCCTGTCTCTTCCTGGCTTTCTGGCCTCTTTTTTACAACAGCAGCAGCTTTAGTTTTTGAAAGTCAAGTTTCCGCTCAAATCTTCCTGTGTGTCATACTAAGTTGTTGGTTCCTGGCTGATTGGCTTTTTTGTCTAGATTAACAGCAGCTTTAATGTTCAGCAGGCAAGGTTCCGCTTACAGTCAGATTTCGTCGCAAGACTTTTGAATAGCATTTGCAGATTTGGTGGGCAAGGTTTACCAAGGTTCCACTAAAAGCCTGATTTCATGGCAGGGACGTTGAATACTATCTGCAGATTTCGTTGCGCGGGAGGGGGGTTGGGGGGGGAGGGCGCAGCGCCTCCCCCCCCACGAGCGCTCGGAAAAAACATGCAATGAATTATACAGAGCCAAACGAAAGTCAGGAAATCTATGTACAGGAGTAAGACACATCGAGTGGTAGAATCGGCCTCCTGTTCGAAAAGTGTAGAGGCAGGGTGTGAGTATCAAGATCAAATGGGCAAAAGTGAGTGCGTGAGTCAAGTTGAAATGGCAACATCCTTCTCTAAATTTTACCCTCGGGTGGCTCACCAAAGATTGAGTCAACTTGGAAGGGCAACATCCTTCTTTAATTTTTACCCCTGCGTGGCCCACAAAAGGGTCAGTCAAGTTGAAATGGCAATTTAACCCTGCATCACAAAAGGGTGAGTGAACTTGGCATAGCCACTTCCCTCTCTAAATT